ACTCGACCACCGGCCACGTTCTCACCGGCATCCCTCAGATCGACTACATCTGGGACCCTAATCTACCCCGCGAGTTGAACGGCTACAATCTCAGCGATTACCCGTTCTACAACAGCATACCCGAGGACATCGACTTCAAATGCGACGGTCTCCACGACGGATTCTACGCCAGCGTTCCTCACAAATGTCAGGTGAGCCGTCTTGTAATTCCACTTAACGCGACACCGATACATCGCGCGACGAACAGGCTATTATTAGCGATGCAAAAGGACAGCCCCATCGTCGATTCATTACGAACCGTTCGCCACGCTTCTTGCGGGTAATTAGCGAAAAAGCTTTGCGGCGGCTTCGAACGAACGATGACCGAACGAAACCTCGAGCCCTGCTACAACTCTTTCGGCATCGAAGAGACGCGGACGTTCTTCCTTGCTTCGGCCACGGTTACGGAACCTTCGGCCTTTTGCCGGAGTCTCGGGGGTCCCCAGGATCCCAAGAAATTCAAGGATACGACACTGCACCCAGCGGTTCGCCTTCCATCTTTCTGTTTTATTATTCGGAACGGGAACCGCCTCCGTAATTGAGCAAAGATTATTCGCTGCCAGTCCGACAGACCTCGCCGGACGAAACAAAAATCCGTGGCGTGAGTCGCGTTGAAAATTGCGGGCCGAAGGACGGGCGAATCTGTGTGGGACCGCGACAGGCTCCTCTGGGTGGCACGCGCGAACACGGCCGCGACCGAGAACGGGCCTTTTTTGACTCGACGCGATCGCGGGTCCAGTCCGTGAACCGATCTACATGTCGTAGCTGTTCTCGCGGAACAGTGGGCGAAGGCCCACTGCGATGAACCTGCCCACTCTGTCACGTTGACTCGATAAATACGAGACACCGATCGACGATCGCTTCGAGAAAAGCTTCTCAAACTCTTCGACCTGTACACGAAGCCCCTAGATTCATTTATTCAATTTAATGTATTTAACGAACGAGAAAACCGTTTGACGTTACAGAGTCGTTAGCAGGTAGATAAAGCACGAGGCAGTTGCCGATCCAGACTCTAGATCGTTTTAAACGGCAACTGCTTCGTGCTTCGTCTACCTGCTAATGACTCTGTAACGCCAAAATGTTGTCTCGTTCATTAAATACATTAAATTCAATTAAATTAGAAGAGCCAGCTTTGCAACCTCTCGAAACCTAAGCGACTCGTTCCCATGTAATGATCCTTCAGAGTCCCGAGTCCCTTGGCTAGGCTCCAGAGAAAACGAATATTCTGCTGGTAGAAAGGATCGAGCTACTTCAAACCCTCTCTCCCGACAATGCAGTCAGGAGCCAGAGGACGAGAATCGTTCGAGAGCGCAGGAACCGAGAGTGGAATGAACCAGCTCGTTATCCTGAAAGCAGAAACGCCGGGATCGATCGTCATCCGGGAGTAAAAGCGGGCATTGTGACCGCTCTAGTGAAAAGGAAAGTCAGTGTCATCTGGCCGGAGAAAGATTTTCTGACAAGGTGTGTCGTCCACTCGCGTAATGAACGGATGTCAACGATCCGTGACGCGGCGCGCCTCCTCCCTTCCCGGCCCGGTCGCGATCGCGATCGCGATCGCAGAAGCAGACGAAACGTGCGACGGCCTTTCAGATTTCTACCGCGATGCCCCGTGACTACGGAAAACCGTGAACGAAAGCGAGTCCTCCGGCGAGATGCGGATGCAAAAAATCGCAACGCTCTAGAGCGGCGGATCGTTTCACTTAGGCTAGCCGGATCGCGTCACGGGAACGGGGCGTAGACCGCGCGAGAAACTCTGGATCCTCGAGATCCATCGATCGATGAGGTGTCTTACCGATACAATTAACATTGCGATACATTGCCTGGAACGATTTATTTTACCGAACATCGATCGTTCAATACTTTCCGAAGCTTCGCGGAGAATTTCGCGAATTCGGAATCATGAAATCGAAATGATCTTTGCGATATTTTACGTACTTGTTCGATTTCTACATATTTAATTCGTACAAATAAACGATTCATTGAACTTGAACGAAGAAATCTGCTGCGTCTTGTTCGACAAAGACACGGTTAATTATGCTTGAAAATAAAGCGAAGGCACGGTAATTGGCCAGGCCACAGTAACCAGGCTCTACTAACCTACTCGGCGGACAAAGGAGCCTCGGGACAGCGCGAGGGGCCGAGGAGCAACCCGAAGAGGAGCTTCGCGGTCCGATACGCTTCCCGTCCCTGACCGTTCCGAGATACGCGCGCCTCGATCCCGCGATTGTGAAAGCGATTGCACGCCGTACCCCGTTTCCATCGTTCCTTATCGATTGTCTTGCCCGGGCTACCAAGCGAACGGCCCATTGTCATGCAAATGTTCGCGGCTCCGACTTCCTTCCCTCGAACGAGCCGGATACCGATCGGCAAAGAACACCGAGTTCCGCGCGACTTCAAGAAACGTTCCGATCCGCGGCGCTGGCCCGGCGATCCAGCGATCCAGCGATCCCGGGGCCCTGTAAAATCGGCGATCGCGGCCGATCTCTCGGGTTTTGACATTTAACGAGGCGGCAACGTTACGCAAATCCGTCATCGCGAAACCGCTCGAGCGGCCAGGCCACGCCGAGATGCTTACCGACCAGAGTTCCGAGTCGTTTTAGGGAGAGCGCATTTTAGCTATGCAAATACGCAACGCAGGCTGGTTAGAGCGATCCGGAAGAGGACACGGACTTTCCAAAGAAGCCCGGGAAACGAGGGAAACTTAGATGTCGCGCACCGTTTGGCAGATTAATCGGGAGAGAAAAGAATGATGCCTGTGCCGTGCGCAGCCCTTTGAAGGTTGAACGGTTGGAATAGTTAGCAACCCTCTTCGAGCGTCCGCGGCTTAACGATATTTAATCTCGAACGGTGACTCCGTTGCTTCTTTCAAACGGCGGAGAAAGTTCTATTTACCGTGCTCGTGTTTCTCGCAGTTGCTTTAGAAAATATGAGGCGCGAGGATCCGGCTGATCGGGGAAAAAAGTGCGAGGAGTACGCATGCGATGCGAGCAGAGGGAAGAATGCGTCTCGGCTGCGGCGAATCGAGGCGATTGATACGTCGGGACTCGTTTTCGAGAAACGAAACCGAGCATCGAGCGAGCCGGCGCGGCGAGGACGTGCTCCGAATGATTCGAGATGATTCCCGCAGATAATCCGGTGCGGCGATACGTGCCTGACAATCGCGGATCTCCTTACAGAGACAAGTCACTCGTGCACTCCACATTGCGCGATGCACACTCGTGCGCCTCCGAGCAATTACCTGCGCGCACGTAGCCTCGGTGTGAAAGCTGCGGCCGTCGTCTAGCAACATCTGCGAAAAGTGTGTTAACGCTGTCGCTGAAGGATGGCCCAGTCTTCCAGCTGAAACGTCCGTGTCCCCGGATTTCCATTTTGCTCCGAAGAAGCCTACCCTTGCGTCGTCTAATCGAAATTGACGCTTCCATCGCGCTCGATTAAGCCGGGCCACCGCTTTCGATCGAGGACCCAAGACTAACTGGTACGTAACTGTTTTCTTCAAGGTGTACCATCATTGCCTGTTCGGCACGAGATACGACTTCCTCTGCGCGAACTTCACGGCGTTCGACCAGAAGACGTTCATCTGCCACTTCGTCTCGGAGGTGGACTGCGCTAACTCGAAGAAGTACTGGCACAGGAACGACGCCCTGTACAAGGCCGCGACGACGTCCACGACGTCGACGACGTCCACGTCGACGACGACGACGCCGGCGCCGGCTACGGCCACCGGGCGTGCCTCGTCCAGAGACAGAGATCTTCCCAGAAGGAGACGGCCGTTCAGAAGACGGCCGACTTACGACTACTACGACGAGGACTACTACGACGACGATTACAGTCGACCGAGGGGCTACGGCAGGGACGACTACGACTACGAGGACAGAAAGTACAGGAGGGACCGAGACCGCGAGTTCCGGGATCGGGATCGCGATCGTGACTTCAGGGACAGGGATGCTCCGCGAACGAGGGAGGGGGTCGTCAGGGACGATCGAGATCGAGATACCAGTGCCAGGGACAGATATCCGAGCAGAAACAATAGGAGAGATCCGAGCAGAACGAGGGACCCTGTCGAGGAAGACACCAGGGTCAGGCCGAGGGACCCCGATCAAGGATCAAGGTCCAGAGAAGTCGATGACACCGAGTTGGAGGATCGACGGACCGAGGATCGTCGCTACTCCGACAAGAGGTGGTTCGCCGATTAAAGAACTCGATTCGTTTTTCCGTCGATCCTGTGCTCACTGTGGCTTCTTTACAGATACAGGGACGAGTACGACGACAAGGAGGCTGCGTCTTCTTCGGCAGCCTCGGTAGCGAGCTCCGACAGCCTGGTGAAGCCGGCAGCGCCTGTGTCTTCGGTCTATTCCAGACCCAGAGCTCCGCCTAAGATCAGAAGACCCGTGCCGCTCTCCGAACAAGACAAATATGCTTACAAGGCCCCCGCTGTTCAATCGACAGGTAATTAGACAGGTACACCGGGCACGCGCAAACGTGTCTGCTGATTATCTGCCCTCGATCCATTCTGCCTAATTCGCGCTCAAATCGTGTACAAAAATGGACCATTTGGCAAGAGGAGATACGGTTATTCGAACCTTTTGCGGCTTTTATAGTCGTTGACAATCGGTAACTGTAAAAACGAGCCACAAGGCTCGAATGATCGCATCTTCTCTTTCCAAAAACTCCTCTCCTCTTCTCCTCCGAACAATCTGAGCACGAACGAGAGAGATTTTACCGCACCTACTTCCATCGTTTGTTCACTCTGTGCCGATTTGTTGAACGCAGAAGAGCCGAGAAGACGACCGCTGGACACCGAGGACGATTACTACGAAGACGAAGACTTCCGACCGATGAGAAGGCCGATGAGAAGGCGGCCGTCTTACCGTGACAGGGACAGGGACTTCTACGACACCAGGGACAGGGACAGGGACCGGGAAAGAGACCGACCCTTCAGGTAGGGTGACGTACGTACACAACACTGATACGATTATATTCGTCTGTGGTGATTAATCAGACTACACGATATCGTGGCGACCGATATCGCAGCACTCACGTAACACCCGTTCCCAACGACGCGACAAAAAAAACGTACTCACACCGTGCCGTTGTCGATACCCATACAGAACCATCGAAGCGCCTTGATCCCCGATCGATGGTACAAGGATCTATCGTTGCAGGCCGCGTTACCGGGACGAGGAGGACGATCCGCGGCCGAGGAAGCACCCCGATCGCTCGAGAGATCGCTACTACGACCGAGACAGGGATCGAGGAGCCGACCGCGGCAGGGATCGATCCCTGGATCGCGGGAAGGATCGTCCAGCGGAGAGACCGCTGGATCGCGACAGGGGACGGCCGCAGGAGGCGGAGAAGCAGGAGAGGCCTTTCTCTTCGCGACCCGGGGACAGAGACCGGGAGGATCGTCCTAGAACTGGCTCGAGATCGAAGGATCTGCAGGACACCACGGATCCTCCGGCCAGAAGAGGCGGCAGCTACGAGAGACCCACGACAACCGCGGCGACCACCACCACCACCTGTCTGCCGGAGCAGCTGGTCCACAAGGTAGAGACCGACTCGAAGGAGCCGGACAGGTCCGAGAGACCTTCGGAGAGGCCTTCGGAGAGAGTTTCTCAGAGGCCGTCTCAAGGCACGACGACCAGAGCGCCATTGGACGACGAGGAGTCCCACAGGACCGGTCAGCAGGACTATCAGGAGCGGGACCAGGAGGACAGACGGGACCATGGTCAATACCAGGCTCCGGCGGACGAGTACTCGCAGGAATACTACGACGAACCCGAAGATCCTCCTGCTCCTTCGCCGAGGACCGCGGTTCGCATAGTGAAGCGACCGTTCCTGCCTTCCAGAGGCGGAAACGCGAACCCTAGGGGCTTGTCGCCGGTCGGGTCGAAGGCCACCACGCCTCGAAGGGAGGAGGACAGGCCAACGGAAAGGCCGAAGAGTTATTACGGGCAAGAGGAGACCCAGGATCGTCCCCCGGAGCACAATCAACAGACGAAGCCGCGGCAGGAGGAGAAGGAGACTTACGACGCGTACAAGACGGTTCTGAACAGCCAGGACAGGGACCATAGGCCGGAAGAGTACGATACCTCGCTCGTCAGACCCGCCGTTCGAAGACCAGCCGACAGGCAGAGGGAGGAGGAGGCGCAGAAGACCGCGGACGAGTTCGTCAGGGGACAGAAGCACCATCAGGAGGACCGACAACAGAGTTACGAGGAGGGGCTGCCTAAATGGCCCAGCGAGGATTACCCCAGCGCCCAAAATAGCGAGACTGCGTCTCGGAACAAAGGGAGGGTGAACGAGAACCCGAACGTTTACGCTCCCGCGGTTAAGAACGAGGAGACCCAGCAGCATCCGACCGGGCCAGGAAACTTCCGGGTGAAGCAACGATTGAACGAGGTCACCCATCGGCTGCAGGACATCCCGGAGAGCGAGTACGATGTCACCTTGAACGACGCGCTCACTCCTACCTTGAATCAGGAAGCCAACTTGCCGAGCGGATTCGTCCTGCCTCTTCACAGACAGCAGATCGGGAGGGACACGATCCTCCAGCCCTCCGAGAACAACTACAAGGTCTCCAGGCCCGTGAACCAGCAACAGCAGAAACCCTTCGTGCCCAGCCCGCAATTTCTGCCGGCTGTCTCCAGCAACGACAGGCTGAGGACCGTCTACTACAGACCCGCCGAGACCATCCAGCTCGGCGGATCTCAATACAGACCGCAGAGGGGACCGTGGCAGGATTATACCGGTTACTGAGAGGGTTCGCGTCGTTTACATCTTTAAAAAAAAGCTGCCGAGCTGTAACGCGGAATCGGCTCGACCTGGAAACCGAGTTCGCCGGTTCCCGAGGGATCGATCGATCGGATCGATCCTCTTCAGGCGAGGGTTTGTCAGTTTGTTCCTCGGTCGGTCTTTCTCGTTGTCTTTCACGCGAGGCTCCGGGGCAACGGATCGCTTCGTTGCTCCGGATCTTCGGTAGAAAATGCTAAATATATATATATATATATAAAAAGAGTATAACAAAGTAATCAAATAATCGCGACGACGTCGAACGGCGTCGAGCGCGGCAACATGATCGAGGTACTCCAAAATAAATCGTGTTTCGCGTCTCTCTCTCGACTCGAGGAGTCGAGGAGTGTTCTGTAGAAGTTAGTCGAATTCGTTCTATCGTAATCTGCGGTACGCTAAAGTGATCCGATTCTGTTTTGTCTGTAAATATTCGCACGGTTACGCCTAACTTTACGATTATGTTTCGTCTTTAAATTATTCACGGACACGTGTACACGGTTCTCCGCGAAAGCACGCTCGTCGTCCCGATTTCCTTTCTTTCGATATTAGTAGCGAGTAAGCGTTCTCGAGTATACAGAATGTCTTTGTAAATTATATAAACTGTGACGTACGATATTAAAAAACTGACAAAATATACTCGTGATTTTTTCTGTTTTTCTGAATTCCACACGCAGGCAGGCAAGCAGGTCTGGACGCGTTCCAGAAGGCAACAGGTAACGCCGATCGACTGTTATTTTCTTTATTCTTCGATTCCATATTTATCGATACTCGGATATGTACAAATTCTTCGTTGCGGTCGTTGCTCGACCTTCGGTGATGCGATTACGCGGATTTTCGCGGTTCTTGCGAGCGCCGGAACAGTGTTTTTCGTTGTCGGGCAGACAGACGGCACAATTATCGCCCAGATTGTAACGCGTGCTTGTCGAAAAAAGAGCCGAAGAAGCTTAGGTTTTCGTGGTCGATCTCGTTCATTCTAACAGATTGTGTGCAATTCAGTGGGATTTAGTCGACGACGGCCGAGTCGTAGATGATAACGTAAAATACATCACAGAATAAGATATTCGCGTCTGAACGGACCTTGGCCGGTGATTCGTTATAATTTCGTGAATTCTTCGATCGTGAAACATTGAGCATCGTCATTGGTTAAATCTACGGAGACAAGAGCAATTAAGCTGGTCGCGCGCCATTCAAATTCGTCACTGCGAACTGAACAAAAATACGGAGTCTTGTTGTCTCGCTATACCGAGCAGCCTTAATGTGTCCGGGATCGATCTCGAGCACCGACTACAATCGCTATGTTTTAACTCCTAGCGCGATAAAGTACTGTACAAAAAATGATAGAGTACAAGAATAGGTTAAATATCTAATATATATATGCATATATATTTATACATACGTTAAATGTATATATGTATATATATATGTATTTATATAAATCTCGCACATGCACGGCTCGATAATCTTTTGCGAGCGGGAAGACAGCCTCCCGAATTCGCCTTACGAATATAAATATAGACAATGCAATCTCTTGTTTCGGTAATCACGTTTAATTCGAATTATAAACTATAGGAGAGAGAGAGAGAGAATGATTGGCTGGCAAGAATACGCGGCCCCCGGAGACGGGCCTGGGTTATTTACAGAATCCCTTATATTACAAGACGACATCGAGCACGGTTACAAGTGCAATCTTCTTTTGGTGTGGGTGCAGCTGCTTCTAAACGCCTTGCCATTCCCGGGAATCGTCGCTCTTCGAACCAGATCGGGCTTAGGCGATTGCACAGTCTAGAGACAGCCTCGTCGATTAATTAGACTAGGATTTTAGAGTATCGCGCGCATTTAACGACAAACGCGAGTAATCGAAATATAAAACGGTAAAAATAGCAGGAATCTAAAACCTAAAGCTGCGACGTTTCGAATAATCCATATTATCTAAACGAAAGCTGCGAAGAAGAACTGCTTGGAACGTTAATTTCATGATTAATTCATAAGTAGACCGCGGATTTTATGCAGTTATTACACGAATCGATAAATCGCATACAAAGCTGTACAAACATTTGAACAACTTAAAAACACTGTGACGTGTAGCTTTTGTATCCAGCAATTATCGCAGACAATATTAATTTTCCATAAAAATCCGCAGTCTAGGAAGTAGGCTGGACCCGAACCGTGCAACCGTCTAATCTCGTTTCCCAAGCCGCAGGAATGTGCTGTTGTCATTTCCGACGGACGATTCCCGTTTGAGCGTGCCCGACGATAGAATTTCGGTCCTGGAATCCTTGATCTTTGGTCGTGTGACGTCAATGTACCGTTTCACATTCGAAGAAGAATACGAGGAAAGTTTGCGCACGCGAGACCCGCGGATATTCCCGCCTCCTTCGGAACCAGAGTTTCGGTGGAATTGATTAGCGTGCCATTAAAAAAATATGTGTCCGCGGACGGCCGCCGAATATCCGGGACGAGCCTCGGGCCACCTCGACTACCGGAGCAACAATAGAGAGAGCAGACAGACAATTTTCTGTTCGGTTCCGCGACAATTTAGCGCAGAGTATGCATGTATCTCGGTTTTGGTGATCCGGCGCGGCGATCACCGCGAGCGTTCTATACACAACAGGCTTCGTCGTAACGTCTTTTAAAATTTACTGACCAGCTTCTCTTAAATATTACGTCGTAAAAAATTATGTTTCGTCGGATATGTATCATTCGTCGGAGAACGATGAGAGCAGCGATCGTGTAAGTAGTAGCACCTTTATGCGTGGGAAAATATCGATACGGTAAAAAAACAAAGAATAAAATGTCTCTGCAGAGATGCTCGTCGATAAAATCAAACGGATTCGGAAGAAGAAGATCGCACAAAAACACGTCTACTTACACTAACACCTCTTTACAATGTAGCCTCTTAATTCAGTTCGACGATGTATCCCCTTGTACGTACCTTCTATCTAAACTCCTGCTCGATATGTACACAAAGTTACACAACATTGTTCCCTAAGCGCGGGCAAGCTTCGAGGAGACTTTCACACGGGTGCGCAACGTGTCCTGTGGAATATAATTAGCGTCATCGATGGGGATTCCCTTTGTTGCAATTGCTGCTACCCGAGTGCTCCCGTTTCGATGCGGTTAGAGCCACGGGTCAGTCGCCAAAGTCTACGTAAACCCGCTGAATTTCGCAACAACGTCGCGCGCGATCCATGTATAACCGCGCAGACCCGATGAAATATTTCTAAGCAGCTCGTTCGAGCAGGCTACGTAGACTTTTGCAATTGCACAGTTTCTCGGAGGGCGTCGCTTGTGTCCAAAGAACGGAATCAACCGTCGAAGTTAGGCCAGCTAGTCCTGATATCGACTCCAGCGATTAATAGCCGATTACAGTAATGTCTCCCTTACCGACGCTCAGATTGTCCACTAAAATGGATAATTCGGGAAGAGAAGATACGATTGTTCGAGCCTTGCGACTCGTTTCTATAGTTGTTGACAATCGATAACCGTAAAAAGCGAGCAACAAGGCTCGAACAATCTTCCCTTCCAAAATTGTCCATTCTTGTGGACAATCCGAGCGTCAATTAGAGAGACATTACCGTATGTAGCCGGGACGAGCACCGTAACTCCGCGGGAATCTCCGTCGCGCTGGACACAAGCGACGTTCACCGAGAGATCTTGTGGATGAGCAGCCGGGTAACAAAGCTTGTTAGATGTTAGTTCTTATTCCACGGAAAAATTAGTTGTGGTAGAAGCGAGATAGAGAGATCAGCGGAGAATCGCGGTACGAGCTGTCTCAAAGCCTGCCGCTGCAAAATCCGGTGTAACCGAGCGTTGCCGGCGTCGTAACGTGCAGATTTGTATCGCGGGTGCATCATCGACGATGTCGATGGTACGCCGCCTTACCCTATCGGCGGGTCGTCGTCGTCGTCGTCGTCCCTCGTGACTAGGATATCGCCGTGACGATTCGGACGGAGCAGTCGGAATCGTTGCAGCCATTTGTATCGCCTCGCCCCAAGATACAGCAGAACCCCGACTACTATGAGGAAGGTCGGTATTAACAAACCGGCGGCTACAGAACCACCTAGAAAGAGATTCACAAGAGGAATAGCCTGTGTGCGTGTACGTGTCCGTGTGCGTGTGCGTGACTAGGCGCGCAGCTGTTGCCTCTCTATCCTATCAACGTCGCTGAACGTCGTCGTTAACAAACGCAACGCGACCGGACACTTATCGGCCCGAGAAAATGCTCAGGGGAGAACGAATCAATTTATCTATCGTGGAAAATTCTCCGAGGCGACCGAGCACCGTACTCCCGCGCTCGTTGCGCATCGGAGCAGCCGCGACGAGCGTCAACTGCCCGGGGGATCGTAAACTGCCGCTGATGATCGTCTCTAACGAAAACGAGAGCAACGGAACCGAATCGAAAATTGATAGCGTCGTTCGATCGTCCAATGAATCGCGAGTCAAAAACAACTTCCGAAGAAGAACAAGAAGGAAAGAAATAAAAATAAAGCGAAGATTAAAAGAAATTTTGGGAATATCGATGCGTCAACTTCGACCTGTTAAAATTATTTAAGAAAGAAAAGACATTGCACGTGGTTCCTATGTCTTGCGATCGATGTAGAATTCATTTCGAACGAGGATCCGAAGTCTAAACGTTAGGCCGGACGAGGACTAGAACGACGGGAGGATCTTGGAAGTCTAGTTTCCTGGCGGTCTCCGAGGGGGACGATCCGAGATAGGATCTTTGTCGGGGATCCAAGGATCTTCTGTCGACTCTATTTACCTGCCGCAGACTCGGGTTGAGCGGAGGTCTCGTTAGCGGCCAAGAGCGTTTTGTTCTGAAGACACTGGCCATCCCGCTGCACGTACTCCCTCAGGCACTCGCAGAATCCCTTCTCCTCCGGCGACTTCTGCACGCATCTCCCGTAGGTGCCGCATTGCTCTTCCGCCAGGTTCAGGAGGCACTGTTGAACCTTGCCACCATCTGAAAGTTGCGTTATCGTTGCAAAATTGCGAGCATCGAAACGGTCGATCGGCCTTAAAAGGTATCGGGTTGTGTCGCGAGCATGCAAATCGCTTCCTGCGTCACCGCGACGGTTACCGTTTGCCAACGGTTGAGACAATCGTCTACACCCCATTGTTTCCGATTCGGACGCTTCGATTAGCTTTGCGACGCTTTGGAAAGCTAGAGACGAGCGTCGCGAGACCGCGGAACTCTCGTTGCGATATTCCAATTGCAAACAGCAATTACGATCGCCGGAAGATGGAAGACTAAAATTAACTTGTACACAGCCTAATGTCTAATGAAGTCTGTGCAAGAGATCGGCAACTGCTTATGAGTCATCCCGATGGGATGTACTCGGTGCCAGTGAATCGCACATGGGCTCTGGTCGATTCCGGCCAGAGGTTAATTAGGTGCTAACGCAGCGCACAAGTTCGGTTATGGCCGTCGCGTTCCTTGCATTCACAGTTACGCGAGCGAGGCAACGTGGCACGCGTAAATTATGCGAGTCCAAGCATGCTCGTACTCGCAACAGAACTTATTTATGTTGCAACCTAAAAGATACGGGTGCGTGGGTATCGGCGAGGTCGGTCGGACACAGCTGGACAGCTCGAGACGCGCGATAACGCGTTCGTAAGCGTGCCGGGAGCCGGGAGCGATTACCACGGATACAAAGGAAACAAAGGGGCCATTCAATCTTCCCATTCTCCGCGCATCGTCGATCGTTATCGTTATCGGATCGATACGGAGCCCGGCTCGCGACGACGCTGCAATTTTTCCCGCGATTTCGAATTCACCGCGATCTCCTGCTCGTTATCGGTTCGTCGACGATCGACGATATTTTTCGGCCGGGACACGCCGGACAAAGGCGTCTCGGACGCGGCCGGTATTTTCGCGAGCGTATCGGGTCCGGCCGCGTCGAGATTGGCTGAATCAGTTAATTGAGACGAATTAATTTTATCAGACGGAATACAGGGGTTAACTACGCAGATTCAGCCAAGCAAATTAGGGGAGCATTAATCCGATAAACAACCGGCGCGATCGCCGCGACACGATTCTCTCTCTCCCTCTCTCTCTCTCGCTGTTCGTCGGAAGAATTTCGCGACGCTGTGACCCTCGGTTATCCCGCCGATTGCATTGTTCGAGGCTCGAGACGCGTCGAAACATAGTTCAACGAGATCGTTATCTGCTTCGCGATACGATTGATCCGATAAATTGAAGAAAGACTCGCTCGGCACCAATTGCTGCGAATTAGTCAGCCCGCGCGAAACTTCTCCGCTCGTTGCAACAACAAAACTGCCGTCGAACGCGAGCATTAGCGCGCTACGATGACGCAGGCAACAGCAGCGTGACGAAAGGAAACCAAGCCGGCGAACAATTAACTCGAGTTCAAAATTCTAATAACGTCGCTTTTACGTAAGGGAGATCGATTCGCGGCGTCGCCGATGCGGGCCGATGAACTTTCGCGCGATAACGTTCGCGGATTTCGCGGATCGATCGGACACAACGGATCTTTTCATTCGCTCGCCTGTCCGTCGTCCTTCTGTGGGCAGCTCGGTCCGAGTTGCTAACGAGATCGGATCCAGCCGAAAGAAATTGCGTAACGATATCGTCTGCGTGTAGAACGTTCTGTCGCGGTTTGGCGCCGAAATTACGCAACCGAGAGAAATGGGATACAATGTTCGTACGAACGGCTGTTCCGCCGCGTAGAATTACGGGGACGATCGACGGAATCGTGGGAATTATACGTTTTAATTCGCGGATCCGATGACCGGCCTCGGGTATCGCGATAATTCCGTTCCGCGACTTATCGCGACTTTTGTCGTGCCGACTCGTGCTTACGTGGCTCGGTTATCGCCGAGACACGAGTAAAACGAGTACGTGTTACTTTGTTATCGCGTTGAGTCATCTCGTTAATTGCGAGCAAAACTGTTCGGCGTCCTGCTCGAACCCGCGAGCAAAAAGCGGCCGAGTCGCTGCTTTCACGTCGGGCAACGCCGAATCTTCTCGTAATCGCTTTTTTCGCCGGTTGCGAAAAGAAAACGGTTGCCTAATTTTTCGAGAGAGTGTGAGAGAGAGAGAGAGAGACTGCGTCGTTCTCATTTCTCACGGCTTCTAGCCTCGCATTTTTTCGTTCCTCACGCCTCGTCGATGAAAGATCGTCCCGAGGACTATTCCCCCCCGCGTAATCGTAATTCGCCGTACCCACACGCGACTTGCAATTTATTGTAATTTGTTCGACCGGTTTGTGCGTTCCACCTTCTCTCTTTTTCCCCGTCGTTCATTAGCCATTATTGAGCAAGATTTATGGATTGGATATCAAGCATCTCCGAGGATTTCCTTGGGGTTTTTATACAGATACCGCCGCGACCGATCGAGCTTAGTCGTGTTTGATCGACGACCGATCTCCCGTGCTTCGGACATCCCCGCTGTAAAAAAAATCGTATTATTATTTGATGTCGTCGGCGGAATCCCGGTGAGACTCGGCGAGATCTTATCGCAATTGCGGAAGCAGTAGCTGCACGTCCGTCAGCGTCTCTTTCGTTTTTGTTTTTTCTCGTTAATTGGCCGATGAGTATCTTTTTCCACAAGTACATACATAGCGTGTTCGCTGAAAACGATTGCCCGATGCAGGAAAACGTGAGAGATAAATTTCGAATATTTTGAGAGATAAAGTTATCGCCGACGTTTCGAAACCGACGCGGAAACGTCCGTCGCACGTTCACCCTGTTTAGCACCTCTCTTTATCTCTCTCTCTCTCTCTCTCTCTCCTTCTCTCTTCTTCTTCCTCTTTACGATCGAACCAGCCGTTTCATCGCGAATCTCGCTCGGCTCCCGTTCGATCGACGATCGTTCCCTTCGTCGAGACGTATCTCGCATCGTGGCATTACGGCCGTCCCGCGGTCCCGCCAACCCGATTATCAGCTGTTTCCTTTGCAAACGATTCCATGCACACACTCGTGGGATCCGCTTTCACAGATTGAACGATTAATTCTACATCTGCGTCGGCCATTGATAATTCCGGTACCGTCGACGCTTCTTTCAACGTCCCTGCCACCGCATCATCTCGGTGATTCAAACCCCCGGGTTTTCCATCGAATAATCGCCGCTCGGATTCTCATAGAGCGCAACGCCGTTCCCGGTGCAACTTTTGTGCAGCGGAGTCTGACGAGATGCAATCTCTGACCGTCTGCTGGACCGACGATTTCATACATTTGCGACGGACGCCGATCGTCGAGAACTTCGTCTTACGATCGCTCGGATAAAATATGCATGCCGGAACGTTTTTTATTCGATCTCATCTGGAACATCCATTAGGCATCGTATCGTTTTAAAACGCGTCGCGTTATACGACGGCGATAACTGTTCAGATTTCGTTTCCTGACCCAGCGTGTTTCGAGCGTTCCACCGTTGAAGTCTGAGTCATAGGAGCGTCGAATCGACGGACATGGATTCTCCCTCCTTGTTTCGCTAACGGAAAACGTGAAATATCTGTCCTTGTCTTTAACTGGAAAAATAAGGAAAGACGATCAACGTCCGCTTTTCCGACGCTCGCGCGACTCTGGTCTAATTTACAATTTTTTTATGTGTTTTCCAATGTTTTCCTATTACTCATAAATGAATATTAATAATAATAATAGTAATAACAACGAGAACCTTGCAGTGCGCCGATTGCATTTTCAGTATGTCACTGGTATCAATATTACATTATGCGCAACATTGTTGAACAATCTTAGCCGAGTCATCGCGTAATATTTAACTAGACTCGGTACAGTATATTTTTTCCAATTTTCCTCGAGCTTGCAAACAAAAATGGACACCATTCGGGAGGAGGAGATACGATTACTCGAGCCTCGCGGCTCATTTTCACAGTCGCCGATTGTCAACGATTATAAAAACGAGATGCAAGGCTCGAACAATCGAATCTGCTCTTCCCAAATAGTCCATTTTTGTTTACAAGCTGAAGGAAAGTCTGATGGAATTTTCCGCAAAATTGACATTTCCACAAAACATCCGCGATCGAATCGAGGTGCATTCCGCGCAACCCTGTTGCTCAACCGCCGTGGCCAGGGTGCACCGAAAGCCGTGCTCGATGTAAACATGAACCGGTTGCGTCCGGTTCGGAGTTCGGTAATCTCGCGAGCCTAGCAATAGCTAGGAACCCAGGGATCCGCGAAAACGTGGACGCGATAACGAGCCTCCGCGATGACATGCAGCGAACGCGATCGCGAATCGTGTACACGGCGTCCGCGTGAAATCCAAGGAACGCGTGTAGGAGGAACGTGCGGGATACGTGAAACGCCTCGCATCGGCGACGTAGTACCGAGAAACGGAGGACCGGAGGGGACTTAATTTCTGGACCAAAAGAAGATCGCGAGAGGAGAGGAGACACGCGACGAGAGCGAGAGCGCGCCGGGAGAGAAAGAGAAAGGCGGAAAGAGAGAAAGAGAAGGAGAGGGAGAGAGAGAGAGAGAGAGAGAGAGAGAGAGACTGGGCGATGGGAGAAAGAGGGAGGAAGGGAGACGGGAGAAAGAAAAGGAGCGAGAGAGCTCGACGTGCTCGAGTCGAGGAGCGAGGCGAGGGGAAGGGGCGGCGAAAAAGCGGAAGAAGACTATTGTGGCCTTAGCAGGGGTGACCCCAAATGGTTCGGACGAGCAATTTCGGAGCTCGGACTGGTGCAGAGAATTTACTGGCGAGAGAGAGAGAGAGAGAGGAACCGGACGATCCCGAATCGTCGGGCGCTTACCTGCTGAAGTGAATGGCGCTAGAAAAAGAACCGTCACGATGAGGTAGCAGAACACACCGGCCCGAACGTCTCGCATTTTCCCGACTGACTTTCCGTCTTCCTTCGTTTCCTTCCTTCGTTCACGTGCTGGCTATCGGTCAAGGTACAGTTCACGATCACATAATAAACAATTTTCTCGGCGCAGATCCGTTCGCGGCGAGAGAGCTGCTCTGTTTGCCACTTACTCCGGCTCGGCTCGGCGTTCGCGCCGCCTAGCCTCTCCTCGGGGCCCGACGGAGAAAAAGAAGAAGCACGTATGCTCGCCGCGATTTGATCCTATGCGAACGGGGGAAGACCTGGACAACAATGTGCGCGTCTCTCCCGGCGGCAACGCGTGCTCGTCCCGTGAAGCTTAGCAGGCGAATCGCGGGGCTGGATGATCAACAGGCGACCGTGAACCGGCTCATCGCCGATCGGCCCGGCCGTCACCACTTTTGACAGATAAATGCTAGGCCGCGCCGTCGAACGCGTTCAATCATCTGTTATTAAACGACCATTTGCTATTATCGAAACCAATTGCCGGTCGACCGCTCGAAACAACGCTACCGTCGACCAATCGATCCATCGAGATATCTCGAGAACGAGACGGCGCTTGCGCTACCCCAATGCCGCCAACATTCGATCCTCTATCCGGCAGAAAACTTGCGTTTCAAGACAGTATTTTCGAACGATCAAATTTTATAACAAATTATGATAGAAAATAATTGATCTTGGTTATCAAAATAAATTCGAAGGCTCGCCCATGAATTTTTCATATTTTTACCAACCGTATTTATGGTACAAACATTTAGTACTACCAACGACGCGACTCGTTTTCCTAGATCGGCCAGGAAAATAATCGTACCTCGAAGTACACGAAACTTACAAATTTTTAGATACCTTTTTTAAAAGCTGACAGAGGTCGAAGATGTTATTGTTCAATAATATACAATTATTGTCCAATCTATAGAACGTATAAACTCGAAAAGAGTCGCAACGCGGCAACTCGAAGCTCTCAAATCGTTCAGGATAATAATTCGACAACCCTTTTCTAAACAGGCAGAAATCGAAGAAGCTGTTGGCGTCCAGGAAAGAACGATCGCTTCGAGAACGTCTAGACCGGAGAAGGGAACTTGGCTACGAGTTTGGAAGGGTCCTTTCGCGCCGGAGGATCGTTCCCCCCAAAATTTTGCCCGCGCTTTCCGCAGGGTCTCTCTCCCCGGGGTCGTTGGTGGTTTTATTTTTGGAGCAAGTCTCCGTGCCGGTAGTTGGCCTGCTACCTGGCAGATAACGCTAGCAGCTGTCTGGCGGAAATCGATTGCTATACAGAGTATTTTTAAAAAGCGGGATCCCCACTCGGTCGAGTAAGTTTTCCCGAAAAGTGCCCCGGGGACTCGTTTCGGCTTCCTCTTCGGCTTCCTGCTCGGCGCCGCGTTTTTCGTGCGGAATCGAGGCGGCGCGGGATCGTCGGTGTCCGGTTACAGGTCCTTGGAACGTAAACGAATGCGGCACGTGTCATGGCGAGTAGCGGTGTGATAAACGAAAGTCGCGAAGCCTGAACCGTTTCGCAGCGTGATCGGAGTGCCGCTGATCAATTAGAATCGCCGCGATGATGGAGGAGACGGTGTTGAGCCTGAAGTGGCAGAGTTTCTCTTCCCATTTGGCGGTCTCCCTGGACACATGCTACGAGAAGCAACAATTTGTAGACCTTTCGCTCGTGTGCAAAGACGGGACGATCATAAAGTGTCACAAGATGGTGTTGGCCAACGCGAGCACGTTCTTCCGACGGCTGCTGGTCGCCAACGACCATCCGCACCCCATGATCATTTTGCACGACATCGAGGCCGACGACCTGAAGACCATCGTCAACTTCATGTACTGCGGTGAGATACAAGTGGTTCAGAGTGAGGTTAGACGATTGTTGAAGCTCGCCGAAATCTTGGAGGTCACCGGCCTAAAGCAGATACAGACCAAGGTGCTCGGTGGAGAGACCTACAACAACTCGTCGCACGAGCCGGCCCGGAAGACCGCCACGGTGTCGCGGTCGAAGAACGAGGAGACCAAAGGACTGCTCGCCAAAACCGTACCCGAATCCGAGCCCGGCACCTCTAGGTCCCAAATCAAGGCTTGCCCTACCACCAGGTCTCTCTCCGCCTTACAGAAATCTGGGATCAAAGCTCAGGAGGTTGGTAAGAAGAGCAAAGAGAATATGAATCTGTTGAGTCAACGGTTGGAGACCGGTAAGTCTGGAATCAGTATTTTGGATGCCCACGATATGCCTAGCACCAGCAGGGGCATTCCCGATCAACCTCCTCAGAGGAGAAAGGAGCCCCCTGGTCCCGTTATTAGTTGGCCTAGGATACTCTCGGAGATCTCCAAGGATCACCCTCTGCCCAAAAAGCTCTGTATCATGGACGAGGTTGAGATCACCGCTGGGAAACCTCCTCCGGTTCCTCAGGACTCCGTGAGGAACGAACCTCTGGACAGGAGAAAACAGGGGACAGGTTCGGAGGCTATTCAGACCATGAACTGCGCGGTATACATAAAAGATGAATTAGATATATGTCACGAGCTGGACGAAGACGAAGACATGGACCCTCTGGAAGTAGAAGAACTGGAGAACGAAAGTCCCGACGAGATCCCGGGTCACTCTCGAAGGTTTTCTTACACAAACATCGATCAGATCTATAACACAGGCTCCCTCCCAGAATTCCCACCTAGAAAGGGGTCGAACGGTTAACGTACAAAGTAATATGCGACCAAAAACTAACAAGAACCACGCGTCGGAGGACGATGCTTATACAGAATAAGAATTGTTTTCTTGGTTGCAAGTCTTTTCTGCAAGGATATAAATGTGTACATGTTAAGCATAATCTACCACCTTGTTCGTTACTTTGTTACACAGTCCTGTTTCTTTTCTAATAAACCAGTTCAACCTGAATACATTATATATCGTTTATCCCGACTAACAAACAATTTCACCGTCGTGCTAGTAATATTGTACAGATATCTTTCTACCATTACACACAATTGTAACACTATACCGCACGTCTCTATGGAAACCTGTACCGATTAGTCCCGTACGTGTATCGACGCATCGCTAATATTTCACGTCGAAACTACGAGACTGGCGGAAGCTTGAGCGATGGAGGAGAAGTTGATAGAGGGACAGAAATTACTAGACGATTCGTCGTCGGTTGATAAACGAATAACGGAGGAGGAGTTCCAGAATTTTATGCATCGCGTTACCGAAGTCGGTGAGTATATTCATCTCCCTAGCCCTTGAACACGGTTTTTTATATTTTTTGGAATGTTTAAGAAAAAATCGTGAAGAAGCTGGCGTCGGAGGACCCCGAGGAACAAAAATGCGGTCAGATCCTGGCGGACGAAATTTTGGATCGAAAGTATGAGACCGTTATTACCGAAGACTGCGAGCTCAGAGTCAAATCTAACCGCACAGTGATCAATAAGTACGTTGAAAATGAAACCAAAAACGGAGAACAAATGTCGCAAGGTACTCGATTCATTTTTTAGTTTCGTCAGAGTCGAATCGCTGCGGAACTCCGCTTCGAAATTTCGTTTTGCCCATAGTTTAATCGTTGTTTTAATTTTTCACACAGAAGCGTTTATGAAAAGCATGGAAAAAGACGCGAAAGAGAGATCGGAGAACAGAAAGATAAGGTACGAGAGGGCGGAAACGTTGAAGAGAATCGGAAACGGGGCGTTCAAGGAAGGAAATTACGAGAAAGCTGTGACTTATTACTCGAAAGCGATAGAGCAGCGAAAGGATTCGTCCGTGTTATGGAACAACAGAGCTCTAGCTTACATGAATTTAGGATTGTACAAGAAAGCTTTGTCGGACTGCGAGTGGGCGTTAAAGGTTCACGACGCTAACATAAAAGCTCTTTTGAACATCGCGAAGTGTTACAAGCACCTTGAAGACGAGGTCAACTACAAAGAATACATTCGATTAGCCAGAGAGAGAAATCCACGCTTCAACAAATTTATTGACGGTATTATTCCACGTTCGTTAACACTCGAAACATTTCTATCGTAATCGGATTGTACACGGTGACTCGTTGTTGCAGAGTTCGAGGAGAACATGGACACAGGCATCGATCAGCAGGGCTGATCCGACGAGAACGGCTTTGGACGTGTTTTATGCGAACGAACAGAAATATTTCCCATGTACTCTGTATATTCCATTTTGTAACGATCTGAAATGCATTTAACCGATATCAAGACGAGCTCAGTTTTGTCGCGTAACCCTCCTTGATCTCCGACAGAGATCTAGGCTCGTGAAGGAAAACTGTGCACTCGATGCCCTGGAAATAATTGCAGCTCCGGTTAATCCGTCTTTCGAACTCTATTCAAAATAAACCGATCCGCGTACCTGCATGCGTGCCGCTCTAACGAAACCTTCGTTCGCAGACACGGTGATACTTTTCATGTTCTCGCCAGTGGCGAAAACCAATCGAGACCTGTCCTTGATTTTCCCACCCAAGCTTAGCCTCTCCATGATCCTGCCTGTGGGTAGATCGACCACCATCCGGACCCTGCTCAACAATTCCTTCGCCCTGGCAGACTCTTTGGGACCGCCGATCACGTCTATGATGTTCATGAAATTCTCGTAGGCAGTCTGACAGACGATCAGCTCTTTGCCACTGAATAATTCCTCTAGAATCGGTTTTACCGGAAGCTTTCGTTCCATCTCGGCTTGCTGGGTGAGCAAAGGCTCCCGGTAAACGAAATGATCGTACCCATTCGTCATGTTTGTTACGTATGCCAGTAACGTCGACACGTCTAGATTAAGAATGTTTATTTCTTTGGCGAGAGAAGAGGTATTTAAAGTTTCCAAATCGGAGTCATCCTTACATTCGTCCAAAGGTTCCTCTACAGGATCCTGTACGATCCCCGTGGAAAATTTGCCATCCGTTTCTGTATCGTAATAAATGAGAAGATCAATATTTCACCTCGGTGCATAATTCTTCATCGGAACAGTGTTACCTTGTACGCTCGTGCTTCTATCGTCGCAGTCTATTCGATCTCCTTCTACGACCACACCGACACGCTCCAAATGGGCAGCCAAAGGTACTTCTATGCCGTAAGCAAAATGAAACACCACGTCCGGTGGCCTGTACAAATGTGGATAACACTTGGCGCACTGCAAGTAGCAGTTCGCTTGATCCAACACAGATTTCTGCCCGTATTCCCCGTTGCCCATAGAAATCAGGGTGAGAGCTTTGGCATTTCTGGCAATTACTTTAACCCAGGATGCGCCTCCGTCGCAGACAATGTCGACCTCCAGCCTGGATTTCTGGTACTTGAACGGTTTCATGACGTTGGTAGGCTCGTTTGCACAGAACAACCGTGCCCCGATAGCGTTCAGATGGATCAGATTGGTGCTCTGTAGGTGCTCCTTCTTTACATTCCCTGTAGATTGTACCTTTAAGGGAACAGCAAGCGGTTACGATTCTATTGCAATTAATACAGACACGTGTAAAACCGTGTTAACCCATATGGTGTCCCAGTCGCAATGTTTTGACCGCTTACGAGACCTTGCCATGGGTTTTACAGAGAGAAACCGGGCCGAGAGGAAATTTCGTCGAAGGCAGAAACGAACGTACCTTTTCCAAGAATCTAATCTCCTGCTGAAACTTTCGAATAAGCTTCTCGACACCATCGATCTTGCCAACGAGTTTCAGACGATCTATGGTGGCTCTGCCGCTGTAGATTTTTTCCTCGAGGCATTTCAGCAGCTCGACCCTGTCCTCCATCGTTCACGTGCGAACGGCACCCGGGCGATTCGCCATGGGAGATCCCGTTTTCCCTCGGCTATCCGAATAATTTCGGATAGACCACGGCCGACGAGCGTAGTGTCAGCCGCCATCTTGCATCTCGGTTCAATATCGCGTAATGTCGTCGGGTCGCTTGTCAAACTCGCCTATTAACCTCACTAACTTTTCTATTTCGTCGAATTATTGACAGTCGTGGGCGACGCGTGAATGGTAACGGCATCGGGCCCCAGCGAAACGTGCGAGCCGCAGAACGACACCCGCGAAACCTGTTCGCGCGTGCGAGGGAGTCGAAAACGAGGACTGTTATCGTGCTGTAATTATCGCGCACTGTCAACATTCCTCTGACAATAACAGAGAACGCCGCTGGACTCGAGCCGGAAAATGTCCAGCGCGAAAATCATCGAGAATCCAGAAATACCCGGTGAGTCTGGCCCCCTTCCCACACCCATTCGATCTCCTTCATTGATTCACGTTGTTCGAGTCGGCCCTCGATATTATCTCTTTCCTACCGCGAAGCGAAATATCTTTGTCCTCTCGGTGCCCATCGAGCAACGAACGAATTCTCTCGTCGAGAAATCCTCGCGTTATTTAATCCGGTTCGAAGGGTAGATCGAGCGATCGCGAGGAGAGAACGAGTACCTCCCACGTAGTCGCGATGGGTCCCCCATCGGCCGGATGCGACTTGTGGCATGTCTACGCGAACCAATTATCGAAACAATTACTTACTGACAGAACCGACCATCGTGACCAAAGTCGGCTCTGCCGGGAGCAGCGCCCTAGAGACATCTTCCCGGCGGGCCTGCATTCGCCGTCGAATGCTCGGCGAATGCACGGCCGCCGAAATCAGCTGACTTCTTAAAATATCGAGGTGCATCGGTCACGTGCATGCCACTGCAAAGACAGCGTGTCGTCTTTCGCCCGACTTTCCCGCTCCCGATCGAACCGGCCGGCGATCCGTGTCTCCTTCGTCGATTAAATTAATCGCTCGATTGGACAAACGAATCGACCGATTGGACGTCGGACCCGATCGATCCGAACGCGAAAGCGATCGTTTATTTAAATATTCGTCGAGTTGGAGAATGGAAAGTGAAACGGAACGAAATTGTGACGGGAAATTTGAATTCGGAGGATGCGAATTCAGCGAGCAAAATGTTGCATCGGTCGATTCAATTTGTTCGTCGCGTATCGATACCGTTATCGGCGAAGTTCGTCCGTTCGCGTTAAAAATCCAACGAGTATCGCATATCGATTACGATTACGCGAACGCTCGCGTAGATTGGAAGCCCGTTGCGCACATAATCGGAGGAGCATATCGGTTTCATCACCGGTTAACAGAAATCTTCGCCGGCTGTGTGCGCGAAGCGCGCTGTAAATGCTCGAACGTCCGCGGTGTAATTAGCCCAATCGATTTCGCTCGATTCGCGTAATGTTAATTTCTCTTCGAATCCGCTCGATAAGTTTCTCTGTTTATCTCGATCGCGGCCGCCGCCACGCCGCGGCGGTGCAGCGTGCACATGCCCGAAGTGCACCGTGCAGTCGGCGGCGCGGCGGGGCGCATAAGTCGATAAGTAGCGATGGGATCGTACCGCGGGCGATATCGAAACCTCCGTTGCCTCGAAATCATTGGAGGACGGTAACAATCGTAGATCGATTATCAACAGGTCGAGCGCTGTTATTAAAGATCTATATATGAAAAATCGCGATTTCTACATCGAGTTTCGCGATCGTTCGAATCCTAAATGCGCGAATGCAACTCGCAACACGCGCAAGAAAGCACAAGTCAGCCACGTCGAGTGGTCTAGCACCGAGCATAATTAAGAATTTCCACCGAGTCACCGTTACTGCCGTGCGGAGTCTCGCGGAATGAAAAATGATGGTGGAACGGTTGGCAAACAGTTTGCAATTTTGTTGCGGTCGCGAGCAATAAAAAGGGGGCCGAACATGATGCCGGCGCTATCGACGAGCCCGCCGCGGCCCGCAGGATGTATCTTCCGTGTTGCCGATAAAAATGGCGGGCATTACGGGCAGGGTCGCTCGAAATTAGGGAAATCAGTATTAGCGCGGTGGGCAATTAAATCGGATCCGAGGGCAAATTGCGTCGATACGCATCTCGTCTTGCCGATATTTACGCCGGCACTTTATCGCCGCCCGTTTCCGATATTTTATCTGGTATGCATTTTCATGCATAGCTCGGGGCGTGCTTAAACTGTCCGTGGTTTTTATCGCCATCATAAATCGGACGCGTAACGCAGCACGCTCGCCATTCATCTTTCCCCGGCATCGGTTGCGCGATTCTCCTCAAATCTGCGCGCCTATTATTATTATCGCCGTATCATCGCCGTTATCATTCATTTCGAACCGCGACCGGAGACCGGCGAGAGCGGATCGACTCAAAAATCGGCGCCCGCCTCGTAGCGCCGAGAATTCCGCGGAATCGCCGACAATGATCTTTACGATCTATCGTTCCGAGACCCGTAACTCTTTCCTAGCCGGAGATAGCAACGATCGATAGGAAATATCGGCCGGCTCGTAAACCATTCAATTTCCAGCGTCCCCCCGAAAGGATCGCGGGCGCCGATATTTTTCCGGGTTCCGTTCTCGGGAAGACCGTTTAACCCGGTTCTCAGAAATTCTCGCTCTGCCCGATCCAGGATTAGAATGCTTCCTGCCGCCACCCCCGCCGCCGCCTCCCCCCGTCGCGTCCCCGAAGAGCAACAATGTACAGAGCCCCGGCGAGCAACCGCAGCCGGAAGCGACTCCGACGGAAACTGCGACCAGCACCTGTCCGAGCGAAGCGCCGGCTATCACGGTCCCAGCATCCGTCGCACCGTTCCCGAACCTCCCGGTGCCAGCGCCGTACATGATGCACCCCGCGATGCAACCGCAGACACCCGGACAGCCGGCCACGCCGTGGTGGATTCCCAATGACGCCGACACCTCGGACCTTTACGCCCGATGGTACGACACGACCTACAAAGCTGCAGCCGCGGCCGCGGCGGTGGCTGCGCCCGCGATCCAGGTCGGCAAGTCGAAGACCAAGCACCACAAACGCAAGAACGAGTTCATCGATCCCGCACAGGACGCAGGTAATCCGAATGTGCAAAATACGGCTGCATACGACCGTCGGCGTTCGTTCGACGTTTAATCCTTTCGGTACGAGCGCCGGATATATCCGGCATCCATCTGGTCACCTGTGTGGCCGAGCGCCGGATATGCAGGGTGTTCCAAAATTATGGTATTTCCGGGAAACGAGGGGTTCCCGAGATCGTTCGAAGCAACTTTTTCCTCAGCGAAAATATTCTACGAGGCTTGAAACAGTGACCAATGAGAGGCGAGCTCGATTGGCTCGGCTGCCTTGCGCCAACCGAGCTCGTCTTTGATCGGTCGGTGTTTTTCGTTAATAATAAATAGTGGACCGACCCACCGTGCTATGCGCGCATTTTCGGCGCGGCACCCCGTACAGTGGGAGTGTCACGGCTGACAGCGCGCTCGTACCGAAAGGGTTGAAGAGTCCCACCGAAGAAGCGGCGGCGCGAGCGCGAGCGTGTCTCCGCGGCCAATTTGTTCGCCGGTTAATAGAGCGTTCGAGAAAAGCCGAGCTCGTTGCTTTTGGGACCTAAATGGCCTGCAGCGCGCGCTCGCTGCATCCCGCGTCTCGTTCGCCGCCGGTTATGCATCGAATTATGAGTTGAGCAATCGGAATCCAGATTCCTACGGCAGCTATTAGCTAATTAAAGATTGATTTATGTTTTCGATTTCGCAGAGAAAGTCGCGAGCGCCCAGAGGGAACTGTCAGCGCTAATGAAACCGCTGAAATGCGATCTCTGCAACGCAGTTGTAAGGCCCGATTACTTTACTCGATAAAAATCGCGGACGGAGACCCTTTTCCGCACCGTCGAAGGGTCCGCGTCCGAAGGAACGCGTCGGACGCGCGAGTCACCGTGTTTTTATCGCTTCCAGATGAACTCGACGCTGCAGGCGAAGCTGCACTACGACGGCAAGCCGCACCAGAAGAAGGTGTCCATGTTCTTGAACCAGAGCGTGAAGAAGCAGAAGACGGAGGACGGCCAGGTGACGAGCACGACCAACGACTGGCAGAACTATTGCGACGTGAGCGACCGAACAACCCTTTTAACCGAGATTAGAAATCCGTACCGAGCTATTTTGCCTGATCTCGTCGCAAATGTTTCGCAGATCTGCAAGACCTGGTTCACGTCGCAAACGGACGCGACGCAGCACTACGCCGGCAAGAAGCACATCAGGGCGGCGAACGGGGGACGTCGTGCGAGGTACAGAGTCTCCGTACCCTATTGGGAGCCGAGAAGATGGCAGATCGTGGACAGATGCATAGAATTTAAGTACTATGTTAAAGCGCTTCGAGGGGGTCAAAGACGGAGGCAGCCGGATCTGCCCGACGTTGTCTTTCGCCCCTCCCGGCTGCCAACTTTTCAGCTCCCAATAGCGCTTGTCTGCAATTATAGTTAGCAGTGTCGAGCGAGATCGTCACACCAGAGCGTTCACTTCTGCAGGCCGTCGAAGAAGTCGCAAAGTCAAAATCAGTACAATCAAATAGATCCAACCGGACGGTACAATGTAGGAACGGGCTTTCAACCCGAAGTCCAACCTCCTGCGGTCACGCAACCGGTCGTACCGGACGGCACGGCAGCCCTACCCACGCCAGGAACGGCCACCCTGTACACACCACCGCCATATCCGACGCCACTGCGTTGCGATCTGTGCGGAGTCTCGGCTAACCGCCAGGACCAGCTAGAGACGCACAAGCGGGGTGCTAGACACTTGCGAATGCTCAGGTTGAACGGGCTACCAGTTCCCGAACCCGGTAAGTAGAGCCTTAGAGATCGCAACATCGCATACGAATGCGCTACAATCGATTTTATACCTTTCGAACGTTTTAGCTACCGAGAACGAGACCACCCCCACGACACCTGGACCCATAGACTACTCTATTTACCGGACACCGTCGGGTAAGGACGCGCCGCGCACGATTGCCGGGTGCCCGAGCCTCGAATTTGGACCGAAATTGGTCCTAGAATCGGCTCAGTTTACCGTTCGTTTCGTCAACGTAGAGTCTAGATCGGATCTACGGTAATGTCTCTCTAATTGACGCCCAGATTGACCACAAAAATGGACAATATGGGAAGAGGAGATACGATTATTCCAGTCGTGCGGTTTATTTTTATAGCTATAAATTGGTTAGGCTTGAATAATCGTATCTCCTCTTCTCAAATTATCCAATTCAGTGGACGATCCGAGCGTCGGTAAGGGAGACATTACCGTAGACCGCGTGTCTCTCAAAGGTCTGCGATCTAGAGCTAGAAGCACAGTCGCGAATTGATCTTAGAGCGGCTAAGTCAGGCAACGACTGCCCATGGTCTAAGCTTCAAGCGGAGCTAGATTCTTAGGGGATTGCGATTATCGAGCGGATCGGTAGGCTGATAGACGATCGATCTCTTTTGCAGGCCAGTACTACTGCGCGCCGTGCAACCTGTCGCTAAACTCGGAGAGCATGTTCGCCCAGCACGTGGAGAGCAAGAAACACAAAAACCAGTCGAACCCGAAGTCGCCGTCGAACGCCGCGGTGGTGTCGAAGAAAGCGAGATTCAAGAAGAAATAAGGCCAGGAGGAAGTCGTGAAGGAGGGGGAGGAGGAGGAGGAGGGTCGTGTGCTAAATCTCAGCATCGCCGGACCATCGTATTCACGGAGCTATTCCGTCTCATTGCCACGGTTACGCGGACGTACCGATGTCGCGTCGAAGCGACGCGCAACGATCTATTTGGAGAAACGAAATAAACCTCTTGTTCGATACGAACGCGTATCAATTTCTCTGACGGTCTCGCCACGAATCCAGCGGAATCGGGGGAAGGTGAGCGACCTCCGATCGGCTCGAGACGTCGCCCGCGACCGGCGGGGATTATGAATTACTGCGAAGATAGATGCGATCGTCGCGCGACTGATGGGAAAGATAAATCTGTTAGGCCCTTGAGGAGCGTATTTAAATTAAATGTCGATTAACTCTAAATTCGATTTGCAGTAAACCGAACGGTTATTTCGACGGTAGCTCGTTAAACGTCTACTCGGCGGCTGCGCGACTAATTGGCCACATTTATTCAATTACGAAACCATTAGCTCTCTCTGGTGTGCTATGAAAAGATGGAGAAGAGAAGGGAAAAGGAAGGGAGCGTTTCGTCTCCTGGTTCCGCTAGAAGGGCTCGTCGGCGAGGTTATCTTAGCGGGTCCTGCCTTAGATATCGGATGGACGGAGTATATCGAAATCGTTGACGGATTAATTGCGACGAAAGGCATCCGTCCGCTGGCGAGCGTCAACGGCGGCCGTCGCAGCTCGAACGTTTCGGTTCGGACCGCGTCGTGGCCTGTCGCACACCTAAGCGTCCGGGGCCCTGCGCTATAATACTCGATTTCGCGAAATCGTACACGGCCGCGTATACGAGCACGCGTTTATCGCGTCCACGTGAAATTTATGCGTCGTTCACTCTCTCGGCCTTCCGCTGAATTTATGGCCGAGCGAACGCGCGCCGTGCCGCGCCACGCCACGCCGCGCCACTCCGTGGCTCTCCTCTATTAATTACCTCCTAAGACACCTATCACGGATCAACCGTTTTCAGCCCGTTTTTACTGTCACTTCCCGCGCGATGAATATATCTTTTGACAGCGGGGACCAAATAAAAATGTCGTTGTAAAGCATGAATCAACCTTGGAGGCCGGGGGAACACTTCGGTTCACGGATACTGCCTAAAACGGCAGCGACCGGTCTTCCTCGAAGAGGAGCCGAGGAGAGACCGGAGCGAACTTCGCTCGTATCTCGGAATTAAAGAATTAGTCGTCGTTAGGACCAAACGGAATTCTCCGTAAAAACTTCAAGAGCAACTCGGGGGCTATTAAAAGAGGACCGGGAGTCTAGGTGGTCATAGAGGCCTCGTGTCCAGAAAATTCCTACGGAATAGTGGTGTGTTCCTTCCCACCCCCTTGTTCCTACGCGTCTGCATTCCGCCGATTTTCTAACAAACTCGCGCCGCGGCAATTTAGCGGGCCAACTATTTTCTTCGGCCGTTTCTTTTTAGCTTTCCGTTGCCGGTCGCCTGAACTCCCGCTAGCCCGGCAGCGGGCTAGAGATTAGGATCGTCCTCGCCACGGACTTGTAGATCGTTGGTTTATACCTGCGCTTCGGATTTTTATGACCCCTGGTTCCACGTTTAACGTGTCCCCTTCTTTTTATTCCTCGCGGCGTCTCCTCTCCTCCTCCTCCTCCGGCTTCTCTCCGCCACATCACCGAAATCCCTTTTCCATCTTCCCGATCTCTCGTCCTCTCTCTCTCTCTCTCTCTCTCTCTCTCTCTCTCTCGTCCACGTTGTACACGCATACCTACGCGATACTATTCCTTTCCGCTGTTGCTTTTTACGCCCGGCGATCGCCCGAGGACTGTTCATTTTGCGCAACATTAACCGGAAAAGGTGAGTACCACTTGCGCCGGGACGGGAAGATGCCTAGGCGATGGAACGCGCCGCTCTGATTGGCTATTTGCTCTGCATCTAGTGCCCACCGCAAAAAACATTTAATCGGACTTGAGCCAACATCTGGTACAAAAATATTGCTTCGCCGTGCCGACCGCGAAAAATCTTTTAATTAATCTGCAGTGTTAATGCGCGCCTCGTTATGCCTCATTTCACATCCTGTCCCGATTCTCGAAAAGCCGCGCGGCCCGGTTCGCGCATCGTCGACTCATTACCGGCGAACAACGCGAACGGTATCATTTCACTTTTATCTTATCGTATCCGATTTTGAAAATACTCTGTTTTTACTTCGATCGAAGATTACGGCAAAACATTATTACCGGAATTTCTCCTTCGGATGATAACCGGTCGAGGGGTTTGTGCTCGAGTGTAAAAACGATGTTCCAAGGAAATCTAGCTCGTATCATAGGATGAAGACTTTCATTCTGTCTATATTTTACACCGTTAGACTGGCAGGATTAAGTTTTGCGGACGTCTGTACTCGCTATGAAGATCGTGAGCCTCGCTTATTTCTTAGTCCGCTGTCTTGGACCTTCCAGGACTCTGGGATCATCTGGATGTCCTAGATCTTCCCTTTCTTTTCCCTAGATCCTTTTCTTCTTTTCCCTAAAGCTCTAGATTCTATCCTAGTCTTTTTCATAGCTTTCGAGTCCCGTCCTACTATACGAAGACGAAGGCTACGGGGATACTGGAGCTGGTTACTGCGGGTTGATCGATTGCTATAGCTTTGGTTTCTATTCGCGAACGATCAACTTTATATTTATCGAATAAAAAAATGAGCAAGGTAAAAGAATTCTTGTATTCGAAACTAAACAAAATAGAAGAATTTCTCCGCTTAAAAATGAACAAGACAAAAGAACAAACAGATTCAATATGTCCCATTCGATAAACAGAAAGTTAATTACGCCCGAAAACCGAGCAAAGACACAGCAATCGGTCACGCAACGGTAACCGGCCGCTCCACCACCCTACCTCGTCTAAGACGACGTCTTTCAGTTTCCTGCAAAGCGTGGGCTAAACGTGAGAACGTTTTCGGAGATTAGCGAACGAAGCGAACGAGAGACAAAGCGCGAGAGACGAAAGAGAACGGTCTAGCAGAACGGCGACCGAAGTAAGGGAGATCGATTCGTTACGCGGCCAGGTGTAATGCGCGTAAAAACTGATTAATCACCGCGCATCCGCTCCGAAATTCGGTGGAATTCCTCCGGATGACTCGGGGGAATTTCTGAGAACCTTTTCCAAGCCGCGGCGGCGAGCGAACGGACGATCTACGTGGATTCGTCGGTAGAGCGAGCCGGCCGTCGTGACCGCACGGTGAAACGAGGCAGATCATTCGGGATCGGGATCGATGCTACGCACCGAGGCTCGGAATTAGCTCGGCCACGAAAATTCATATCGACGCGATTCACGGGAGCTCTTAACTAGTTGCGGAACGAGCGCTACGTGGCCGATACTCGAGCTTCCACCCCGCCGCCCCGGTGTCGTTCTTGCGCAGAACCGTATAATAAATTTCTCTGCGGCGAAGTAAATAACCGGTAGGAACGTATAAAAGCGCACGTCGACGTGTAATGCTTACGAGCGGCGGTTATGAAGTTATTCGCGCAGAAATCCTCTTCCGCGGTCGCGTGGATCCACTTTATTAGCAGAACGTATCGATCGGCGTATCGTCTCGCACAGTGGCCACGCTCCGCAAGCTATAAGATACCGATCGATCGAGTATAAGCCGGCGTTGGCTGTTGCCGTCCGTTTCCCCGCAGGAAAAACTTCCAGCAACAACCGGAGGAGACGATCGTTTTATAGTTCCGCGTGTTCAGTTATTCAAAACACGCCGGTGGCAACGACGTAAGAATGCCCCGCAGCGAACGCCGCTAATTAAATGTTCTATTTAACAATTCCCCCAAGAATCGGACTACATAGTTCAAAGCGGAAAGAGTCCGCGCCGGTCTCTCGAACGGCCTCCCCTCTTTATTATCTCTCTCTCTATATTCCTCTCTATCTTCCTCTCTCTCTCTCTCTCTCTCTCTATATATATATATATATATATATATATATTCCTCTCTCTTTCTCTCTCTCTATCTCTCTCTCCTCCCTCTTCCTCCCTCTGACCCGCGTCACTGGCCGCGAATTTTCTTTTCGCGCGCGAACCTTCATTCCTAATTCCGCTAACGAACGGCTAACCGAGTTAGCGCGAGGAACGGTACCTCCGTCGAGCAAGAGCAGCCGCTCCTTTGTCTCGCCGAATCCATTGTTCCACCTGAGAGTATGAATTGGTAAAAAACAGCCCCCGGGTGGCGGTCGCCGAGCGAACAACATGGATCGCTTCTCTCTGTCCCGTTGGCCAGCCCTCGGACAAATTCGTACAATTATTTCTCGATTAGGAGAGATCGGGCTGGACCGGCTGGCTAACCGGCTCCTAGCTCCGAAAGCATCCACCGGCGTTACGGGGGGCCGGAGTGCGGGCCGAGAAAAGTGGGCGCAGCATCTCCGGCCCGTTTAATCGCGGAAATTTCGCGGCAGCCCGCTTTAATAAGATGTTTTTGCGAATTTTGCCGGTGAGGCGTGGAAAAAGAGTAACAGTCGGGCCGGCGGAGGCTGCGCGGAGCGGCGGGGACCGGGACGAAGGGACGAAGGGACGAATAAAACAAGAGGGAATAAAAAGCGATCGGTGGAACGGGGGACGCATCTCGGTGGGGCTGACCTTGCAGGTCCTCGCCGGCCACCAATGTAGACCGACAAGAAAATAGAAAATCGTGCTCCGCTCCTAAATGCGGGCGGTGTGATGTCATGCGGAAATAGCCATCCGTCCGACTATGCTTATATAGCTGCCGCCGCGCCGCGCCGCGCGACAGAGAAAGGGGAACCAACTCGAGACCAACCTTTTGGGGATCTTGATCGCTCGACCGATTACCTCGTTACCGGGCTTCCAAAGAGCCGATCGATCGACGATGCCAACGCAAAAATCTTTTGCGCCTCGCTTTCGAATCGGAATCGGGACGATTCCGTCGAGTACGCGCCGAGATTTGCGTTCTCCTTTCAGATTTTTTGTTTGTCGCACCGATGAATCGGTTGTTGTTCGGACAGTGTTCTCGGATGCAGCTCGAGTTACAGAATCGATCGAACCGGCGCATTGTGCGGCGTTTATACAGGGTGTCCCAAAAATGTCTCGCAATCCGAAAGCGGCGGGTTCCTCGGGTCATTCGAAGCAACTTTTTCCTTTACAAACATTTTCTCCGAGGCACCGTTAACGAGTTATCAACGAAAAACAGTGACCAATGA